ATTGAGCTGAGGGCTGCTGTTCTGGGACGAGAATGGTGCAGCTGGGAGCGGCGTGGGTCGCTGCTGGTCGCGAACCGGTATGAAATCGCCGGAAGAAAAGGTGCTATTTTCCGGCGAGAGGAGCTGCGGAAAAAGGGAGCTTGGAGGCGCTGTGGAGCTCGATTTTCCTGCTGTCCGAGCTTGGAGGCGCGCGTGAGGGGCTGGGGAAGAAGCTGGTCACGATTTGCAGGTGTGGAGCTCGGTTTTGAGGTGCTGGCCGCGAGCAGGTGCTGAAATCGGACCGTAGAGACGCCGGAACAGTAGCTGCGCGCAAAGGGCTGTTTTCCGGCGAGGTGAGTCGCAGCTGGGGATGGCGACGGGCTGGTGGTCGCTGGAAAACGGAGCTCGAGCTTGGACGGGCTGGAGCTGCGGGTTGCGCGATTTGGTTGAGGTGCTGCGCGAGGACGAGTTGAGGAGGAGCTCGTGACGACGGGCTGAGGAGCTGGTCTGTTAGTGAGAGAGTTGCTCGCGGAATTTCGCCGGCGGGACCGAGCTCGGGCTGAGGAGGAGCTGCGGGTTTCACCGAAAAAGGGAGGAACTCGCCGGAAAAAGAGAGGGGTAGCCGGAAATAGGAAGGTGACGAAGCTTAAGCAATGGTCATGGTAAAGATGATGAAGTTTTTTGGTGTTCTTGCTTGAGCTTTAATGGAGGATGAAGTAGATCTTGAAATGAAGATGGTGTAGTGAGGGAGATGATGAATAGTAATGTAGAGGGAGGCTAGGGTTTGTGTTGGGAAAAAGGGGGACAATTCTATTTATAGCTTGTGTAGAAGACTTAGGGTTTTCTCCTTGTTGGGCTTTTATCGGGCTAGAGAGTCGGGCCTAAAATTACTACATAACCGGGCTAGAATATAAATCGAATATAAACTTAGGAAATTAAATGCTCGGGCTTGCTAAATAATATTAATCGAACTAGGACTAATTAAATTAGTCGGTCGAAATAATTACTAATAATGGGCCCGGAATTAAAATACTACGATGACTCGATATTAAATATCGTTTGGTCTTGGGAATTAATTCGACTATTCGAATTAAAATGGCCGACTGAAATTATTGGATTCGCTCAAAATTAATTGGGCTCGAATAATCAAATTATCCGACTTCGGAACTTGAATAAAATTTCCAACTTTAATAATTAAAGTCGGAAGAATTATTAATAGCTTAGACTTTAATTCTAATTATTTAATTTAATGCAAATAAATATAAATAATGCATCAAATTTAGAAACTTAATATTTATGGAAATATAGTCGAGCTCCATAAATAGTAAATAAAAATCTGGGCGTTACAGAAATGGTCGGGGTGAGAAGGTCGGTCCATATGGCCCCGAAGTGGAGGTTTGGCCGGTTGCCCGGCCTCACTTCTCCTCAGGCTGATAACGTAGAGAATGCACCCGAAGATGTAAGTCTCCACCTCATGCCATCCAAACCTCCCAAAAATGTTCACCTTATTTTGTAAATATGTAACATTTTCATTTTATTCTATAACATATTCATCTTACTATATAACATGTTCATCTTACTATGTAACATGTTCATCTCATTATGTAACATGTTCATCTTATTTTATAGCATGTTCATCTCATTTTGTAACATATCCATCTTATTTTGTAACATGTTCGTCTTATTGTGTAAATATGTAACATGTTTATCTTATTCTATAACATGTTCATCTTACTATATAATATGTTCATCTTACTCATTTTGTAACATATCCATCTTATTTTATAACATGTTCACCTTATTTTGTAATATGTAACATTTTCATCTTATTATATATCATATTCGTCTTACATTCTTACTATATAACATGTTCTTCTTACTATGTAACATGTTCATCTTATTATATAACATGTCCATCTTACTATGTAACATGTTCATCTTATTTTATAACATGTCCATCTCATTTTGTAACACGTTCACCTTATTGTGTAAATATGTAACATGTTCATCTTTTTTTTTTATTATTTATTTATTTATTTATTTTATACATATTCTTCTTATTTTATAACATGTTCATTTCATTATGTAACATATCCATCTTATTTTACAACATGTTCACCTTATTTTGTAAATATGTAACATTTTCATCTTATTCTATAACATGTTCATCTTATTATATAACATGTTCATCTTACTATGTAACATGTTCATTTTATTATAGATTTGTGTCATCATATTCTAATAACATAAATTAATTATAAAAAGTAATAAATTAATTGTATTCCAAAATCTATCAAATGTGGTCTCTATTTGTAGAGAATGAAAAATTATGAATTTTGATATTTTTATTTTTATTTTTTAATATAAAATATAGTTGATAATTTAATTTATTTAATATGATATATAAAATTCATTAACCTATAAAAATAAGACACATGTCATTTAAACAATACTTACCATCTCACTTACCTTGTCCTCTCTCTGCGTGTGGGCTAGAATAAATTGGACAACAATTTCAAATTAAAATCACTCTTTTTTTTTACGTGCATTCACTCTCGGCCCTGGCACACCTACACCTAATTATTTGCGAACGCATTGTGGGTGTTATAAATGGTGAAGGTTTTTACTCGCTGCACCTGATTGTACACACATTCCGAGGTAGGTGACGCCCTTAAATCTCAAGCTCGCATTAGCCCACCGGCCACCGCCAATTCTCTCTCTCTCTCTAGCTCGGAGAAAAACTAGAGAGAAGAAAATTAATTGAATTTGACAATGGGGGAGGAGAAGACGAAATCGAGTGGAGTTTGGCCCACTGTGAAGCCGTTCGTTAATGGCGGTGCCTCTGGTATGCTGGCGACCTGTGTTATTCAACCAATCGATATGATTAAGGTACTCTTATCTTACGCATATTCAGATGTACACACAGAGCTACAGTTCGAGGAAATTATTTCTAGACTAGCTTTTGTTAGGGTTTTTATTTCGCTGCTTGATGACCATCTGTTTCTAGGCGTGCATTTGGATCTTTAGATACAATATTTTTTTTATTTTTTATTTTTGCTTTTTTTTTATCAGTCCTTTAGATTCTATTTTGATTTATTCTTGTTTTTGAACTAAATTTGTTGAAGGTCTTCATAGCAATTTCATTTTTAGATTTTTTTTTTCTTTCTCCTAGTGCTGGATGTTAACTTGTTCTTGGAGTGAAACGACATATTCCTGTTTTATGATGTAATATGGAACTTATCTTGGCTTCGTTGGTCTTATTCTTTGATGAATTGATGTTGATTATGGATATGGTCACTTACTGTTTGTTTATATCTAGCTGAGTGATGCAGATCTTTAACCTATGGAGTTGTATTTGTCGATTTTAGGTCAGAATACAACTGGGCCAGGGATCAGCTGCTGATGTGACACGAAACATGCTTAAAAATGAGGGGTTAGGGGCATTTTACAAGGTATGTTTATCATGAGTTGATATTGTAATATGTAAGTTGTAACTACTTATTTGGCGTTTTCATGCTTTTCATTAACATTAGCCAAAGTAGAAGTCTATTTGCGGATGGTGTGAAGTATTGATTTTTATCTAATGCAAGATGAGCTCACATTTCTTTAATTTCATTTAGCCATTGATGGCACACATTATGTGTCTGCTACTATTTTTTCTTCAGATTATATGTTTGGTTACAAAAACTATCATAGGATAGGACTAGTCTAGTTGCAAAAATGTCCAGTTATCTTTCATTTATGGATCACAGACATTTGCCTTTTACCATTCCTTCAAAAACACAATAACATGATTTATTAGGTATATACAAGGCTCCAAGGGTAGGTTGGAAAACTCTAAAAGGGTGTTGGTAACTTTGAAAGATAATTGGAATTATATACATGTAGCCTAAGTATCAGTCACAATTTTTGCTAATGTCTCTCGTGATCTTTTTTTCTTTTTTTCCTTTTTAGTTTAGTTCAGTAATGTGGTAGTATGTCATACTTTTATTTATGTGAACGAGGTAGGTCTTTTTGGTATTATTGCCATCAGTGTACAAATTGACAACCCTTTTCCGCTACTGCCTTTGTTGCCTCGTTGCCGTTGTAATAATTCTTGAGTTGTTTACAGGGTCTATCTGCTGGCCTTCTTAGACAAGCGACATATACAACTGCTCGGCTTGGATCATTTAAGTGAGTAGCTCTCATGAAACCTTGTAGCTGATGGATCTCGTGTTGATTCACTATTTGCAATAAAGGATAATGCTATAATGGACAAAGAGATTGTATTTGAGTAAAATTGATTTCGTATTTTGTTTCTTTAATTTATTGTTATGTTCTCTTACGCTTACATGCTTCCTATTGTATCGACATAGTGAAATGAAGTCGTTGAAAAGGTTGCTATATGTTTTAAATTAATGATTTATAGTTGATTCACCTTTTATAGGCAATCAGATTTTCACATCCTCTAATTTTCTTTGAACTAAGTTGTTAATTTGATAATTAGTGTGTTTGGTAAGCCCATAGACTAGCTTATAACTTATTTAGTTAGCTTAGCTATAAGTTTCTTGTATTTAAAATTTTAAATTAACTTAGGTTGTAGCATGAGCTTTTTTAAAAAGTTAGAGCTTATAAGCTTCTTTAGGTAGCTTTTCAAAAAGCCTATTGACTTTTTATTTCAGTTGACATATTGGCTAATTCTACGCAAATTATATAGCTAACTTTTTACTTATCACCCATAGATGTAAGTTCGAAATTTACTTTTAAGCTATGAACTAACTTATCAGCTTGTAGCTAGCTTTTTAGCTAGTTTATCCAAGCATACCCGATATCGTTATGTTATGTCATTGAAATTTTGAACCATTTCAATACTTTCATATTGTAAGTTCAGGTTGGTTGCTATGTTGGCTACTAGCGTGGAAATGAGATGTCTCGATCTCCTTTTTAATAATTATAGAATTTTATATCATTTTAATACATCATTTGTATTTATATCCAATTTATCTCCAATAGGATGCTGACGAACAAAGCAATAGAGGCCAATGATGGGAAACCCTTACCTCTGTACCAGAAGGCTCTATGCGGATTGACGGCTGGAGCAATTGGAGCATGTGTGGGCAGTCCTGCTGATTTGGCGCTCATCCGCATGCAGGCCGATGCCACTTTGCCTGCTGCCCAAAGACGCAACTACACAAATGCATTTCATGCACTCTCTCGTATCGTTGCTGATGAAGGCGTTTTGGCTCTCTGGAAAGGTGCTGGCCCAACTGTTGTGAGGGCTATGGCCCTTAATATGGGTATGCTTGCTTCTTATGACCAAAGTGTGGAGTTCTTCAAGGACTCTCTTGGTTTTGGAGAGGCTACTACAGTGCTAGGTGAGATTTTATCCAATTAATGCTGACTTGTTATACTTTTTTATAAAGGGAAAGTGCGAAATTGTTGTGTAACTACAAGGTATGACTATTAGTCTTGTAAATCTCATGGTTGCAATTTTAGTGTTGTGAGTTTGCAACAGTTATTCTCATTAGAAATGACAACAATTTTTTTGTTATTTTCTCTCAAGGGCTTTTTGAAAATTAAGGATAATTTGATTCCCATCCATGATCAAGTTTGCACCACCCTGAACTCATTGTACCAAAACTGCAAGCTCCAGTTCTTGAAGGAAAAGAAATTGAAGAAAACACACTAAATTCGACTCGAATAGTATTGCAATCTTTCAGATTACAGTAGTAGTTTTGCAACATATATACAAGTACAGGACAAATTAAGCATTTTGTTTCTTCTTTTTTTTGTAGTGTATGCATTCTTATTTAATTATTTTTTTGGCATGGAGTTCCGATTTTCCTGTCTGTTTCCTGTTTTCAGGGGCCAGTACCGTGTCGGGATTTTTCGCTGCAGCCTGTAGTTTGCCGTTTGATTACGTGAAGACCCAAATACAGAAAATGCAGCCAGATGCTGCTGGGAAATATCCTTACACTGGTTCACTGGATTGCGCCATGAAAACCCTCAAGGCTGGTGGACCCTTCAAATTCTACACTGGATTTCCAGTGTATTGTGTTAGGATTGCCCCTCATGTCATGGTACACTCTCCTTATTTCTCACCATGTCTCTTGTGGAATATATGTCCTTTCCATTTGAAACTTGGATGCATTATTTTGTATACCTATTAAGTATTCTGGTTTTCTTTATTTTCTTTGACTTTGATTCGTTTTTTGGTTTCGCGGCAGATGACTTGGATCTTCCTCAACCAAATCCAAAAATTTGAGAAATCTATTGGCTTGTAATTCTTCTAAGTGGAGAAAGGGGTGTTTTTTGGGATTTTTTGTTTTACTTTTTGCTGGATTATTGTAATTTGTGATCCTCAGGGTTGAAGCTTAACACAGCAACCATGAGAATTTTGTATTGAACAAAACCAGATTATTAAGGTGGTAAGGGGCGCAGGTTTTTCTTACTTCGAGATTGGCTAAGGTTGTCTCGTGGAGGGCCGTCTCCTTTGGAATTTGGGGAAATACTCTGCTGTTGCGAAATAATAACAATTCAACGACGGGGCTGTGAAACATTTTTAAAACGACGTGTGGAAAATTGAGGTTTGTGTTTTTTGTACTATTATTATTATTATTATTATTATTATTATTATGTTACTTATTTTATTTGATCATAAATATGATATTATGTTAAGTTTTGATTTTTTTCTTTTTCTTTTTTATTTTGTCTTTTTCTCGTGCTTGGTCATGTTGTGCTCATTATAAATTTGTTTGTTTTCCACTTGTATCGTGTTTGTGTTGCGTTTATTGTCATCCGATTGATGTGCCATATGCC